GTAGAGGAGTTTTGTGTAATTTGACAAATTTTAATATTAATATTTATTTTGTTGTAGTTTTAAATGGACAGACGGCTGGTGTGTGGTGGCTGTCTGGTTGTTAATTTACATTAATTTTGAAGAGTACATATGTGTTTATGTGGCACAAAGACTTGCAGTATATCCTATTATAAATGTTTATTAAGCCCCTTTATTATGGCCATTATTCGGCCAAAATAATGTTTTGAACAATGACTTTTAAGAGTATGTGTCGTTAAAAAATAAGAAAAAATTTTAAATTTACATACAGAATATTTTATTGTGCGAATGTGTGGTTAAAAATGAATATATAGGAAAAATAGTTTTCAAATAAATAGGGATTTAAAAAAAAGGATAAATTCATTATTGTAATCATATTTTTTTCCAAAACGACGAATTCTGTCACATAGAGATGCAAGTTCACAAATTTAAATAGCTCGAGGACTAGGGTGGGAAAAATGTCTCATCCTGCATTGTCCCGCTCTCCCTCGCCTATTAGATGATCAAGACGGAGAAGAAGAACATGGATTCCACCTCGAATCTACACGATTATAAATTTTTATTTTATCTATTTTTAAAGTTAAATTGTATTTCAAAATAAAAATGTTAGTGACTGAATAAACATGAGGTGGTAGATATGGGAGGATTTTATATTGAAACCTATTATTATTATTATTATTATCTTCTCTTTTTTTTTTTATATCGAAACAACTTCTCGAGAAAATTTGTCCATATATAAGGAAATAAAGATTATTATCTTTTGGGGGCAATTAATTATCCATTATAAATGCCATTTAATTTTGTTGCCAATTGGCTCCACTTGCTTTATATAAGAACGCTACCCGAAAGTCCGCCTCCATAATACCATGAAAAAAATTGTTACCTACCAAATGTGAAAGGGATATGACAATAATATTTAGGTCACGAGATCAAATAATGACAATTATAAAAGGGAAAAATTTAACCTATTGTTACAAGAGTCGCCTTCAACCCTCAAAGTTGATAAAATTAAGTACGTACCTAATAAATATTTTCGTCCAATTATACCATTCAAGTACATAAAGTTCACATATCTCACTTTTTATAGGTAAGCTCTTAATTGATCCAAAATAAAACAAAAGAAGTAAACGATGAAAAGGAAAAGAATGAACATACATCCACCCCCGCTCTCACTTGCCATATGTGGCTTCACCATCCCTGCCTATCATTGACAGCTTCTCCTCCACCTCTTGTGGATTATTCTCCAACTTTTTATTTATTTATACATTTTGATTGAAAATAAGGGTATTATTTATTTTACATAAACAAAAATGAATTTTGAATGGACGAATGGAAGGTATGTTCTTTGAAAACCAACTTACTAGAAATTTGAAAGTTCCACTACCATGTTTCGCTATGTAGAATATAATTTTCTGCTGACAATAAGATAAAATGCAACTCAATTAATATAGATATTGATTTGAATGGATTATAATGAGATGAATTACGATCGTACTTGTCGCTTTTATCGACCGCAATTATTTAAGGGAAAAATTGCAGCAGTGGTCCCTAATCTTTTACTTTTTTGCAAACTTTATCCTCAATTTGTACCAATCAAAGTCCTTAACCTTTGAGAAATAAGCACCTGTGGTGTCCAAAACCATCAATTTAACCGTTAGTTGACTAATAAAGGTACACTTTGATTAATTTTGACCAAATTGGAATGTGTAAAATGGTAACTTAATAAACCAAAAAATCAGAACAAATAAAAAACCAAAAAAATGAGAAAAGAAATAAAAAAAGGGTTTGCGTCCTTCTCATCGCCCCGCCCCACTCTCCCTTTCCCACTCCTACCCCTGAAATCAACCACAAGCATCGCCACCCACCATCGATACCACCGCTGGCACAACCTCCACAACGACCAGGGAATTGGACTAGTGGCTGCTTGGCTACCGAGAATTGGATTTTCTCCAAGTGATTTTGTAAATGGGAAAATTATAGCAACGTGAGATCGGGATTCAAAATCCTAGAAGCTGCATTGATTGCTAGTCCCCTTTTTTGTTCAAATATCATCATCAGATTGGACACCTGGATTGTGGGAGTCAACCTATGATAGTCCACGATGATGGGTGTGATCGGAGGAGGAGTTGCCGACAGTTTTTAAGTTCGTGAGTTAGGGTTTTTTGGTGATTATTTCGACGACATTTGGTGAAGTTAGGGCTCGTGGCTGCATGGGCTAGAATGAAGGGATTTTCAATGATGTGTGGGTTCAACGGTTTGGGGATTGGTGCCGGTGGGTGACAATGCTAAAGTTTTATTTCTTTTCTCATTTTCTTTTTATTTTATTTCTGGTTTTTTAAATTATTTTATGTATCAAATAGCAAAGTTTTTATTTTATCCAGTTCAATTTGGTCAAAATTAGTCAAAGTCTTCTTTTGTTAGTCACCTAACGGTCAAATGGAACCTCGGGTACTTATTTCTCATAGATTAGGGACATTCGTTGGCACAAACTTAAAGTTAGGTTAAATCTGCAAAAAGGTAAAAGGTTGGGGGACCGTTGCTGTAATTTTCCCTTGTATAAATAGAAGTAAAATGAATACAAGGCAATACATAAATGTACTTTCCCATTGAGGGATGTGTTCATTTATTATTCATATACTCTTGAAGTAATTTCGCAGAATTTGTTGCTTATTTCAACCGAACGTGACTCATTAAAACCATTAATACTCTTAACAAAATTGGAAGAAAAAAGGGGACTAGCAATCAATGCAGCTTGTAATAAGGCAATAAGTGAGCCAACGGTCAATTTTAATGTAGGAGAATTGATGTGTCTTGAAAAAGTAGAAAACCATTGCTATGAAGGACTACAACATAGATTGGACTACAAGAATAATAGACTCTCTTTTTTTTCATTTAATTGATCGGTCGACGTCTTTATGTTAACCTTTTCATAAAAAATAATAAAAAATAAATTTATCGTTAAAGCTTAATTTGTTCATTTTTTTTCGTGAAGTTGAAAAGCGTATGCTAATATGTTATTTTGTGTCACAAAACAATTTTGATAGATGTTTAAAATCTAAATGACACTGATAATTTACAATGTAGTGATCGATAATTGAACACGGCTACATTACAAGAACAAGGGAGATATGGCATCTATTCTCCTATGATGATTAAGAGCAATTTTGATAAATGGTTGTGGCCACCCACACTGTGGTAGTGACTTGTAGGACACCTACCACTTGTATAAAATTAACAATTATATTATTCTTCAATGTTGACTCGTGTTACACCAACACGACAATTACGTGATGTGTAATGGTACAATTTAAAACATCTATGTAACGCTATATTTAAAATTTGTTTATTGTGTCCAATACAAATAGGAATCGATTTCAATAATTTATTTTGGGTGCACTTGGTACACTATAGTGGATAAAATTGATATTGAAAGCTTCTATCTACAACTTTTATTTACCTCAACATTAGTACTCTCAAGTCCTTTGGACGCCGATTATACATTTCATCTGACTTAGTAACCCCTATTTCAAGTTTGATAGGAAAGAGATTAGGGTGAGAATGGAGGGATGGTTTGTGAAGGAATAATCGCCTAAATTGTGTCCTTGAGGGGATTTAGGTAGTCGTGTTTCTCTAATAAACCAATACCAATTGAGATGAAACTATACATGTCATAGATCGACCTGTTTGAAAAGGTGACCTAAGAGCATCTCCAATGCTTAAATAGATTGTTCGAAAAAATTTGGCACAACAGAAAAATGAACAATGTTACAAAAATTCCAATCCAGTGCAATCGTGTATAGACTCCATCAAGTTAATGTCCGTTTAGATTCACTATGTTTGATATGCTGACTAAGAAAAATCCATATTTCCTTGTAGATCTAAATGTGGTTCTGTTTTCATCTAAATGCTGATAGGATTTGAGTGTCTATTCAATAGATATCAATGTCACATAAATCAAAAGTCTTTCAACTTGCATACCACGTAGATATTTTTTTTATAAAATACATTAAGCAGACTCATTATTGTGCAATTCTATGTAAATTTTCCCCCTATCCATACCCAGTATTCATTTTGGATCCTCTCAAAGTAGTGCTTGGTTTTTTACCTATCAAATAATATTGAGAGAATTTTGCAATCACATATTATCTTGAATTGTAATCATAGTTATCAGATTCGATGTGAACAAAGTATTCGGTACACTAGGTCATTGGTTGAACCAAGAGGTCACTGGTTAGATCATCAAGTCATTGAATAATTTTTAAATTGTTTAGGAATTTTTTAAAAAGGATAATTCTCTTTTTTACAAAAAATAGATAATATGTTTTTAAGTGTAAATTTAACCAAACAACTAATGGTAGCCATAGTAAGATGGTTTAAGAGCCTCGAGATACACAGTTCAAGACTTGTGGAGAGGTTTTCTAAGATGATAGCTAGGTCTACTCAGTAGTTTTTTGAAAAATCGTATGCTCAATAGTTTTTTTGGAAAATCGTGTGTTGAGTTAACTTGGCTAATGATTAATTGGTTCAACAAGACATTCAGGGTGGCTAAATGGCCGATTCACCGATCAGACCAGTCGGTCCAGATCAAGTCTAATAACACTACGTTTCACGCATCATCATTGTAGAAGTTATTGTAATTTTTCTTGTATTTAGAATATTCTCCTTTGCACAGTTAACATGTGACTAATGTATTCAACATGTGCTTTAAACATTGGTCATCATTATTCATAGATTATAGATATTCTGCTAGCAAACTTTTAATTTCTAACCACGTAGAACATTTCCCTTTTTCTTTTTAATACAAATGGAAATCGAAATTATGTATATCCAATTATTACCCACCTAGATAAAGAGATAGTGTTTTTAAGTAAAAGGATTTACAATAAATTAAAACTTTATATGTTACCTAGTAACTTAAGACATATAGTTCAAGACTTCACGCGTTTCAAATAGGTCTACTTGAATTTTGGCCATATAATAGAGACTTTAGACCTACGATATCAATGTTCTCTCTTACAGAATGGATTAAAATACTTGAGGAGTTCTTGTTTTGTTTAAAATAAGATGTACAATGTATTCAAAGTAGATAAAATAAGACAAAGAAAAGTTGAAATAAACATTTAAAGACAGTTTAAGACGTCTCAACAACACGAGGCAAAATAAGACTTAAAGCATCAATTACATGCTTTGGACAAGGGGTATCAATTTTGCCAAGCCGCTGGTCGGCTAGCTCGGCTCGCTTGAGGCAAGTTGCGGGCGGGAGCATGATGGTGAAAATCTTGTGCAAGCCACTCATCAGTTTCCAAGAGTTGGTTCGCGAGCCGGCTCTCCATCGGGTTACAAGTCGAGGCTAGGCATGCCTACTAGCTCGCCATGCTATAAAGTTTGCATGGCTGTCAACCACAATAGAAATAATGATCCATCACTCTCTTCTACAGTTTCTTCATTCTTTGATGACAGTGTATGAACTTATTTAAGTACAACTACTGCATGGAGTTCATCTTCTCAATTACTTATAGTATTAATACCAGAAAAAATGAAGGACGCGTTGAATTAGCTAGATATTTTTCATGCCATATTCTTAGTGTGTTAAAATTGAGAAGATAAATAATTTGGTCTTCCCGATGGTAGAGAACAAATGAAAAATATTATCTGATATTATTTTTAATAGCATGTGAGCTACCAACGTATCTAGTGTCAACTGTAGGATCAGTGGCTGCAGGGGTAGACCCACTGTTGGACCTAATGGGTCACGTGACCCACAAGTTTTTTTTTTTTTTTTAATATTAAATTTTTTTTAAAACATAAAACTGTAGAAGACTAAGGGACTAAACAATCAAAAAGCCCATTAATTCTTTACAAAACCAAACGGTGGGATGAAAGTGGGATTTGGGAAACCATTCGTCTGTCCATACGGTCGGTGTCATGACTGCCGTCCCATACTGATTTAATCCCTCAGTTCAACGTTGCCGGCAATTGGAATTTGGAAAGGAATTTCTTCTTGTTGACTAATTTTCCTTCCCTGACCCGGTAATCCACCTATTGAGTCTTGAGTATTGGCCGGCGATTGGAGCGGCTCAGCGGCTGTGAAGTGCTGCCATTTAGTTTCAGCCACCATCTGCCTCCCTCCATTTAGTTTCAGCCACCATTGCCATTACTGTCTACTGTCCGTTGCCTCTAAATGGGTATTATTTATTAAGAACCAGTTACTAGTTAGTGCACTGTGCATGCATGAGTTTGTGTTTTGATTTTACATCTCCCATCTCCAATTAATTAGGCTAAAATCTTAATATATGAGTTTTAGTTTGTGTTACTTTTGTGATTTCTGAAATTTTTGTTGAACTAGGCATTTTAGGGATTTTTCTATTTACTACTTAGTACTTATTGTTGATTTTGAAATTTGTTGAATTATGAAAATGTGTAGCTTCAAACATTATTTTTAACCTTGTATTTTTGGAGAATTTAATTTTGCAAACTTTATCACCTAAGCTATGATCATTGGATTTAATTTCATTCTTCTTTTTTATTCCAATGAATTGATTGTTTTTGTTGATTGTTTCTATCAGTTATGGAGAAGTATTTTAAACGTAAATCTATATTTTCTGGTGATGAGTAAAATGTTAATAAAAGGAATGTTCAAGACAAAATGGATGAAATGAATGCTGGGGATAAAATTAATGAAATTGATGGAACTAATCTTGGAGATGTCCCGATTCAAACAAATGTCGAGGATGTTGGGGATGAAAGCCATGAATTTGATGTTGCAAAGCTTCTTTCAAATCTTGGATTGAGAATTCCAATACAAAATTATGATATTAATATCCGAAATGTGATTCAAAGAACATATGTGCAACGGGGTCCTTGTCAATCTCGCAATCATGAATTTCCACCCACGAGGATGGCTAACAAAGATAGGCGATTTCGTATTTCATGGTATAATGAGCATCCTAGTTGGTTGGAATAAAGTATAGAAAAAGATGCTGTATTTTGCTTTTACTGTTATCTTTTCAACTCAAGTGGTGGTTCATTTGTTAATGGTGGATTCTAAAATTGGAAAAGGAAAGAGATTATCAGAAAACATGTTGAAGCATCAAATAATGCACACAATCAGGCTCGGGTCCTGTATGAATCATTTAAGAATCAAGAACAAAGCATTCAATCTTGTCTGTTTAAGCAATCACATCAAACTCGAACAGAGTATCGAATTCTCTTAAATGCGTCAATTGATTGTGTTCGATTTCTTCTACAACAAGAGTTGGCCTTTCATGGACATGATGAATCTGACGATTCAAACAATCAAGGGAATTTTTTTGAACTATTACATTGGTTGTGTGATCACAATACTGAGATTAATGTCGTTGCTTTGACGAATGCACTTGAAAATCTCAAATTAACATCACCTAGAGTTCAAAAAGATATTGTGAGTGCTATTGCTTCTGAAATTCTAAATGTGATTATTAAAGATATGGGTAATGGCTTGTTTTCCATTTTAGTTGATGAATCTTGAGACATTTCGATTAAGGAGCAAATGTCAGTTGTCATTCGTTATGTGAAGAATGGGCGTGTATTGGAACATTTTATCTGTGTTATACATGTTTCCAGTACCACAGCTGTCTCACTTAAGGCTGGTATTGATCAATTATTTTCCACGCATAGTTTAAATAAATCTAATTTGAGAGGTCAGGGATACGATGGAGCTAGCACTATGCGAGATGAATATAATGGTCTCATAACACTTATTTTGAAAGAAAATTCAAGTGCTTACTACATTCACTGCTTTGCTCATCAACTTCAACTTGCTCTTGTAGCTGTGACACAGAAACATCCAAAGATTGAAACTTTTTTTACTTCAGTACACAAATTGGTTAATGTTGTAGGAGGATTAGCTAAACAAAATGATCATATTTGATAGAAACAAAGACTGAAAATTCTTGAATCACTTAGTGTTGGTGGTGAAATATCAAGTGGAGGGTCTCAATCAAGAAACTACTCTTAAGCATTCTAGTGATACACATTGGGGATCTCACTACAGTTGCTTAATTAACCTGATTCTTATGTTTTCAACCACAGTTGATGTTGTTGAGATGATTGCTACTGATACTACAAGTTCTGGAACAAGAGGTGATGCATGTATTTTATTGGAATTGATGTTAAAATTTGAATTTGTTTTAATCTACATCTCATGAGAAAGATCTTGGGAATTTCAAATGAATTGTCAAAAACATTACAAAGAAAAGATCAAGATATTATCAATGCCATGAGATTGGTGCAATTATGTAAAGCACAGCTCCAAACCGTGAAAGATGATGGATGAGATTCTTTTTTTTGGAATGGTTTGTTTGTTTTATGAAGCTCATGAGATAAATGTTCCCAATATGGATGATATGTTCATAACTCTAGATCGTTCATGATGTGATACGATGGCAAATTTGCATCATTTTCATGTGGAAATGTTTAATGCCATCATTGACATGCAACTTCAAGAGCTGAATAATTATTTTTCTGAGCTAAACAGTGACTTGCTACTTTGTATTGCGTGTTTATGTCCAAATAATTCGTTTGCTGCTTTTGACAAGAACAATGTGATTTGACTATGTCAGTATTATCCCGTAGATTTTGATGTGACAGCTATCTTGGAACTCGAAGATCAACTAGATACATATATTTTTGACATGCGCACTGACGAAGATTTTAGAGAATTACAAGGCCTTGGTGATCTTGCACAGAAGTTGGTTGCGAAAAATGAACATGAAGTTTATCCATTAGTCTACAAGCTTGTGACATTAGCCTTAATTCTTGCAGTGGCTACTGCTACAGTTGAGAGCGCATTTTCTGCCATGTCAGTTGTCAAAAATCGTCTACATAATCGAATAGGGGATCAATGGTTGAATGATTGTTTGATTGCATATATTGAGAAAGATGTATTGGACAATATTAAAAATGACGTAATTATGGAACATTATCAAAATATGAAAATTGTAGAGAATAATTGTAATAAGATATCGAATATCTAAATTTTTTCATCACCTTTTTGCTAAGTTTGACAGTGCCCCCACTAACTCGAAATTTATGCATTCGCCATTGAGTGACTGAATTTAGTTTAGTTGGTATGGATTTACCAGAAGAAAAAAATCAGGTTGAAGGAAGATATATTTAAAACATGTACTTGAAGAATTGGCAAGATATAAACTATCGAATACAAGAAAAGATGGATACTGCATTTGCTAAAGATTTCAGCAACTTAATTTTCACACATTTTTTGGTACACGGAGATTTAATTTTATGATTGTATATTGATATTTCCTTTCTTTCTTTCTTTCTTTCTTTCTTATTTTTTGAAAAATTGTGCACGAATATACATTCGTTATAATTTTAACTTCGCTTACATATTATAGTTGATCTCAAACCCCAAATAATGGAGAAGGTTTTCCTACTTTATAGTTTATAATCAAAATTGATTTTTTTTTATGTTCAGCATTTCCTTCCGAATTCACAGAGTGAAAATGTAATTTTCAATTAAAAAACACATGAAATGTGTTTTTTTTTTTTTTTTAGAAGGCCACCCTGCCCATCCTAAGCAGAAGAAGCACTTTCAAAAAATTATTGAAATAAGTCTAAATGTAATTTTTTTTTTTTTTTTAGGTTTCAGAAATAGCTTTTGGCTTTATAAAAGTCCTAACAATTGAGTCTTAAGCTTCTACCTTTTCTAGAAGAGCTTCTTGATTACATCACCTCGGGTTTACTCCTAAAAATTCTTTTAACCAGAAGCACTTTGAGAAATTTATCCAAAGATGTCCAAAAGTTACTTCTTAGTCTCATAATCAATTTTTGACTTTTTAAAATGTGTGTGTGTGTGTGTGTGTGTGTATGTATGTATGTATGTATGTATGTATATACTGTTTATTTTTTGATCAAATGTCTAAAAGGCAGTAAATTTCATAAATAGATTGTTGTGATAGTTAAATCCAATAAGTTTATCTTTTTTTGCAATTAAATTGCCAAAAGGCTAAAAGTTTAAACTATTAAAAAAAGAGTAATGTTAATTAGCACTGGTGTGTGTATATATGTATATATATATATAAAAGTTTAAACTATTAAAAAAAGAGTAATGTTAATTAGCACTGGTGTGTATATATATATGTATGTATGTATATACTGTTTATTTTTTGATCAAATGTCTAAAAGGCAGTAAATTTCATAAATAGATTGTTGTGATAGTTAAATCCAATAAGTTTATCTTTTTTTGCAATCAAATTGCCAAAAGGCTAAATGTTTAAACTATTAAAAAAAGAGTAATGTTAATTAGCACTAATGATATTCAACACCAGTCTAGATGACAGCACTAGTGACATTAAATCACAGGTTGAATTTATATAATTTGGTAAACATCAATTCATTGTACAAGCACTAATTGTAAACAAATGTAACTCAACAAGGTTGCCTTACTTTGTTTCTGAATTTGATACTAATACATCAAGAGACACTAGTTGTCTTGTTCATATTAGCATTTTATTTAATTGTTGCCCTATTTGGCCCCCATTTTGTAGAAATGAAAATTGGTGGAATAACGTTTTTTTGAAAATGAGTGGTTGAAAAAAAATGAAAATTTTTCGATTTACGTGTAATATTATTTTATGGGAGATCGTGTAGTTGAAAATAAGAGAGAGTAAAATGAAATGTAATGAAATGAAAATTAATGGGACCAAACGGAATAAAGTAAGAAATACTCATCTTTTTGCTAAATCGAATGTATTGAACTAGAAAATTTCCCGTTCATTTATTTCGTAACTAGTCATTCTTTCACATCAGCATTGAAAATGAGAAACTCACTATTTTAGCTTAAAAGAACAAATAACTATTAAAAAAAACATCGACCTTACAACGGAAAATAAAGCTGCAGCCCACGTCTAAGCGTATCATTTATTAGGCTCCAGTCATCCAATATGTTTATCTTTTGGTACGATGAAACGGGGGACTCTAATGCCACCAAGTACCTTTGAAGGAAATATGATACTCTCAAAACATGTGAGAATTTATCTACAAAGTCATGGTTTATATCGACGAGCTCAACACGTGATTCCTGCACGAAATTATGTTCACTTTCAGGTGCTCATGACATGCTTGTTTTTGCTAAGAATTGCTTGAAATAAACATTTTACAAAACTTCCAAATGACTGCACCAATTGCAAATTCCCAATGGTTGATCAAGAAAACTTTTGATTCCAAGAAAAGAAATGTTGATAATGTTATAGCTACGCCATCCGATTATGAAATCAAATTAAAGAAAACTATGCAATAAAACACCAGCTAATTTCTAATGACATAATCAACTACTCTTTGTAGGTCATCATGTTGACATTGCACTTCCAAGATTCGAAATCGATTATCAAATAAACTTGTATGGCCTTAGAAATTTTAGGACGGGAAATGCTCAACGTCCAACTTTTCGTATCTTATTCCTCGAAGAATACTCTCTGCAGTTTCCTTTTCCTGTATTATACACAAGAAGATGTGAGAAACTTGTTCTAATCTTCGAACTTACGATATGCAAATACGTGTGAATATATATCAAGTTCAGTACGAGAAAGAATGTGTGATGACTTACTGGACCAGTATAGTCGAGAAGACGAGTACAATACACTTCTGCTTCCTCAAATCTTTTCTTAGATTTGCAATGTTGGGCAAGAAACATCAAAGCCTCCACCATATTTGGTCCTTCTCTCTCTTCAGCTTCCATTCTGTCCAAATCCTTCTTGTAATAAAATGCTGCCTCTTCAGTATGACCAAGTTCGCAATGAAGTTTTGCCAATTGGTGCAGAGCAATTGCTTCTCTGTCATTACAATTAGCTGCCCTTTTGTAACACTTGATTGCCTCCTCAAGCATATGAAGCTGTTTGGCTTCATAACACTGAGCCATGGCAATCCACAGTCGAGAATCATTTGGCTGCAAGAATACCGACTTCTTAAAATAGTGAAGTGCATAGAAGGGCATTCCCATCATCTCGTAAGCTTGTCCTAACCCATACCAGGCGCGATAGTCGCAAGGATTTATATCCACAGCGCGCCGATAGGCATCAACTGCAGCTGAGGTATTCTTCATCTCGACATACTCGTGACCCATGAGTGTCCAAGCTGATAAATAATTTTTATTTAATTTGAGTGCACGCCGGAAATACACAACTGACTTTTCATGCTGCCCCTTCAAACTGTAATAGTTTCCAATAATACAACAAGACTCGGGTCTGTATTTATCTGTTAAAAACACTCTGTGAGCAAGATAACTTAAAGCAGAGAAGCATTCCTTTGCATAGAGGACGTTGGAATACATATCCATGTCTTCAATTCTATATGGATCGTTTCTTAAAAGCTCTTCAAATATAACTTCGACTACTTCAAATTCCCTCAGATTATACTGAGCTTTAGCAATTTGGGCCTGGATATAATTGCTAAAACTGAAGGTTGTTTGCAGATGTTCATACTTGGACAAGGATTCATTATGCATCCGGAGTTCCTGGTATGTACAGGCAAGAAAAAAGTCCTTCATCCAATGGTTATTAAGATTAAGACTATTTAATGTCTCAATAGTAGTGCACAAGGATTGTAGTTCGGACCAAGCACTCCAATTCCAAGGATAACTGTTTACAGACTCGACAAGCACTGTCCTCGCAAGATTCTCACTGCCCTTCTCCTTAAGGACAAGACCATACACGTAAAGACAAAAGGAATCTATTGTTCCATTTTTGCGAAGTGTGGACAACTCCCTCTCGAGAGAAACATTTTCTTTATTCACAGCATCACTCTTGCCTAAGGGTCCCTCCAGTTCTATCATCTCTTCTTCTTTTCGCTTTTCTCCAGCCTATGCAAACCAAAAGAAATGAGGAGAGATTAGTTTGCCTTACCAAATGATATATTGCTAGTATTTCGATAATTTCAATGATTATTTACTTAGACTACAATTAAAGTTATTACAAACAGAGCACACATCTAATGCAAATGAGATAAAATCCAATGTGCAGTAAAACCTAAATATATGAATGTTCGATAGATTAATAATCTTGCTTAAATAATAAAATTCTTCGATCCCGACCTGGGTCAATGTACTAATTTAATACATCTAAATGTATGAGATAATAAAAAAATTTTGGTCATTTAAGGTCCAATGAATATATAAAATAATTACTTAAATTCATAAAATATCATACTAATACAAATTAACAAACTTTTAATTTGAAATTGGGTCAATGTACTAATTTAATACATCTAAATGTATGAGATAATAATTTCTTTTAGGTCATTTAAGGTCCAATGAATATATAAAATAATTACTTAAATTCATAAAAAATCATACTAATACAAATAAAATGTTTTATTCAATTCGTCTCTTTTAATTTAACAACTTTTAATTTGACTGTAGAAATTATGTTCCATATGTACATGAAATAACCTAAACGATTAATCTTCCAAAATATTAAACTTTGAAGCCTATGCATGTACATTAATGTTTTATCTTTAATGTATATATGTGTGTGCCTCTTGTGTGCTAACAAATTAAATTTTGAATTTCACCACATTCAATTTTTTCTTTTCTTTTCTTTCTTTCTTTCTTTCTTTCTTTCTTTTTTTTTAATTTCCAACATGTATAATGGTAAAATATAATACAAGTTATAAAATATAAGATACTCTATAAATTAATAAATATTTATTAAATTATTCATTTATCGATAAATTAATAATTATTCATTTATAATAACCCTTCTAAAATAATATTTTTTCTCAATCCCAACATTATTATTTTATAGAGGTTTTACTTTGCTCAAGACAAACTTGAGAAAAGGCTGAAAATGTCAAGTCTCCTAAGTTGGTGTGTTAGAACTTAGAAGTTCGAATGAGAAACTGGTCCAAATCAAAACTCAAAGAAAAATTATTCCGCCACATTCTGTATCCCTTATTCCCTTGTACGAAAAAAGCAATAGAAAATAATCAATCAACAAGAATAAGGAGTAGACATGGTACCTTTCTTGTCACATGGAAGAGCAAGTGGTGTAGATTTCAAAGAATGCCCTTTTGTAGTGACATTAGCGGTGTGACAGGTGGAGAAATACCAAGCAGAAGAAGCAATCATTAAGAAAGAAATAGTTGACTGGTGATGGATGGAAAGAGGTTGTGATGGCATTTATAGGAGGAGGGTGGGATGACCATTGTTGGAGGGAAGATGGAAAAGATATAGGTTTCAAAGAATGCCCTTTTACTTGGTCCAACCCAAAGAGCTTAGAAGAACTTTTATAAAAAACTTAGTACACAATTAATGCTTAAAAGAAACTTCTGAGTGTTCGGTAAATTTGAAAAGAAAGTGCTTATAAGCCAGAAATATAAAGTGCTTATGAGGCAAATATCTAGTTCTTATTTTGATATTACAAGCAATTTCTGAAATATTTTATGCAGCAGACCCAAACCCTTTTTACGTGTAGATCTGTTTATAAAAATGTTTTACTTGCACTCCTGAAATCCCAAACAGGCTTTAACTCTATTAGGCAGATATTATCTTCCTAGTATTAAAAACTTTATAGTATGATTTTTTCAAAGTTATGAGTTATATGTGATCTGACCAACCAGTATCTGCTTGTTCTATGTAAACCTCGAAATCTTGAGATGCTCAGCACTTGATTTCTCATGCCCAGATCTTTATCATTCAAACTGTTCTTAATCTCTTCAGACAAGACTTCCCATGACATATTATGAACTTATTGACAAAAATAAATTACTATATAGGAATACATTATTTTATCAGAAGATATGTTTGCTTCACAAACTACCAGAAGAGTTGATAAATTTTCTCAAAAAGAATTATATATTTATCTTTGTATCTAATTTTCACCACTACTGGCGATGCAGTGAACTAAAGAATATTTCCAAAAGTTGACTCTTCAGTATTTTCACCCTCATTCACACTTTGCATCCTAGTTTAAAACTCCCTAACAAAGATGCTAGCTTTCTGATGTTTGGGTTAAAATCCAAATCATTTTAAAGCATGTTTCTGATGTTTAGAACAAGAGATAGAAGTGTTCTTCATGCTGTCTAGTTCAGTAATTTACATTACCAAACATGCCATTAGAGAATATGAACTGCTTCCTTCTCATGGCTAACTTCTTCTAATAAAGGCACTTTTATCACATTTATGTCAAAAATGTGTCGATTTTTGTGTTTGAGATTTTAATTCGATCGAGTAAAGTGCATTCAGAAACCTCTTAGATACAGATTCACCAACAGATCAACAAATAGATATGTTTCTCCAATTCCTTATTGGATTTGGATTACAGCACCAAGTAGAAATCCAGATCTGACCAGAATTTGGCTGCAAAGGGAAATATTTGTTGAAGGCCTCAAGAGTTTCAGTAGAAGAATATCAGTGAAAGAATACAAAACCAGTGAAAGAAATTCCCAAATTTATAAACTTTTTGTTTGAGTACAATGTATTTAATAATTAATATACTGCCAATACAAACTTAATTTATGTATCTTTTCGGTCCATTGACATTGGAATATCTCAACTTTGTCCTATCGCACCTTACCCTACAAACTAGGTTATCAAAATTGACTGTTTTTACACATTACTTGAGATATGAGAGTTCTTCTTTTCAAACCTAAGTGGAAAAAGTTGTATAATTTATTAAACATCTTTACAGCATCTTCACTTCCTCAACTCCATCCTAGACAACCCAAAAACCTCTCTTAAAAACTTTACTTGCCCCTAAAGCATGATATTGTGCAGATCTCTACTAAATTTGGAGGGGCGTAGGCTACCTAGCCTACCGCTCCAACACTCAGTTCAAGTGAGAACTAATAAATTCACTGAAACACTCGCAAATGAAAAAATCCCACATAGAAATAAGCATTTATCAATATATAGTCACCAAATTTATAACTTATATAAGTATCTAAAACATATAAATGTATCGTCATAAAAGCAATGTAGCCGAGATTTGTGCAGAAAACCAACCAAATAAAGTGCGTAACAGCGTAGGAAAATGGCTTTCTTGCTTATCTGGTCCCGGAGCACATGGGCCGCCCGGCGGTATTCTCTACAGTCAAAGTAAGACTTTGCTAGCAAATAAAAATCGTTATCGACGGCAGCATAATCATACTCCTCTACCCCCGCCATCAACGGCGTGGCCACATAGGACACCCCACCTGAAGGGGTGGCGGAGGAGTCGCCGGAGGCGGCGGTTCGGAACCGGCGGCGGATGCTGGAGCTTCCACGCTGGAATCGAGTGTGCGAAGGGGTATACTTCGCGGGATCTTGCTCTATCCCCATCAATTGCTCCGCTGCCCTTCAAAATTCCACTTGAAAATTAAAAGGGGAATGTTTGGATGTTTAATGGAGAAATTTTGATTGAAGAAAAACTGGGTTCTTTCAAAATGGGTTTAGGGTTTACCATTTGGACGCAGAGTAGAGACAACGGTCGCTGAGGAGTCGTACGGCAGAACGGAGTTCGGTTCTGCAGGTTTCTTTAGACGCCATTGTTATGTGGGATCCTCTTTTACCCTTTTCTTCTCTCTTTATTGTTGCTATTGTAGCTTAACATCACACAGAATTTTTGTGCTGCTGTGTGTTTTCCACGTAAATTGTTGCAAAGCAGTGAGGAGCTGTTACGCACAGTAACAGATCAATTTGATTTTGGGGAGCGCGGCTGCGAGGGTGAGGAAGGAGGGGCTAGGGTGTGTACATTTTTGGGATACAATTATTATTTGTTTAAATTATATGAGTAAACAAAAATCAGTGACGAATGAGTGTTAGTATTTGTCGATTTCAAGAAATGTTATTGATAAATAGTTATTTGACATTGTGCTCTATTTGGCCTCCATTAATTTTTATTTTATTTTTTTTGTCTCCTATTTTCAATCACACAATCTTCCATGAAATAATATTTCACATAAATCGAAAAATTTTCATTCTTTTTCAACCATTTATTTTTTATAAGAATATTATTCCTTCTATTTTCATTTCCATAAAATGGGAGCCAAACGACTAAAGAATAAGCCCTCATTTGGCTCTCATTCTTCCCAAATTTTAATGAATAGTATTTTCCTTATTTGAGTCCCATTTTTTATCAAAATGTATTTTCGAACATTTATTTCACTCTATTTCAATCACATATATTTTTTATAAAAATAATATTACGAGTAAATTAAAAAAAATCTTATTTTTTAACTACACATTTTTTATCATAACACTATTACAAAATGCATTTAAAAAAAAAGGCTCAAAAAACTCAATCTAGGTATACATTCTTATTGACATTAAGCCCTTGTTTGTCAACCATTCTCCCACATTATTTTTTTTACAGTACTCATTTTCAAGCACACATTCTTCATTAAAATAATATTACAAAAAAAATTTCTTCTTTTTTAACCACAATCACTATTCCATATTCAAATTCTTAAAATTAAAGGGCCACGAACAGGGCCTAAGGACAACATTCTTGTATATAAACATTGGCCAAACATGGGCTAAATCTAGCCTTATCCTAATGGGGGCCGGTGTGGGTGCTACGTGGTATATTGCATTAAGAGCTTTTATGTGAAATTAATTTTTGAAAACTTATTATTTTGGAGAATATGTTATTAGAAAGTACAAAAAAGTTATGAGAAAATATGAAAAATAGTTTTTTTTAATGAGTGGTCGAAAATTATCGAGGGAAAAAGTGATTTTCAAATAAATATTTTCTAACAATTGGTTAAGTCGTATCTCGCCTCACCTTGTCCATTTGGGAAAATGAATGTCCCATGAAATCATTAAGAGTCGCTTAATCCGTTTGAAGTCTTGATGCACCTTGGTATACTCATGGTTGAGGCAAATGGTCGACCTTTGACCCATCCACTACAATCTTGGAATGCTTCCAGAAGAAACTTCATTGCTTAAATTTGAGATGAATTCAAAAGGAGAGGTTGTATCCACGTTCAATTGATCAATACAACCGATTAAGGGTTCCTTTAAAAGTTTGAAAGTAAACTAACCCTCGTGATAAGAGGTAATAGGTCGAATAGACACTCATATCAAATATGACCCTGCAAGATCTTTCCAATTGAAGCAAAGATCAACTGATAAGGATGTACCTTTCTATCGATAATTTTCTTAAATGAGAAGTCCAAGGAACAAGGTAACTTGTCTAAATTTTCTAAGCAGAGTACTGCCTATAAATGTCTTCTTCTTCTTTTTTGGGAAAGGAGGTCATTTAAAGGAATGAATGACAACAACATTTAGCAAAAGATAAATTGAAATGATTGGCGACCGTCCAACATAGATCAAATGAACTAGAAAATTACTCTCAAGGACTGAGAATACCCTTGACTCAATCATTCTCTATAAAACCCCATAATAATACATATAAAAGGTATGCAATATTAATAAACTCTATTAAACTCTTTTCGTTCTGATTCTTCCACACACTAACAAGATTGCAATTGAGCATCAAGGACAAACGACATTTGCAACAATACCTAAACATAGACATTGCATTCTAGTGTGGTGCTCTAGTGTGCATGTAATTCACCAGTGGGAAGAGGGGTGACCGAAATATGTTGGATTGAAATACATGATGTTTGAGGCAAACTTTAAAGAAAAGATAGATATGAGAAATCATCTGAATGTTTTATATCCCTCAAGCCTTTGCCTCTTTGCTTCACATGGACTAGGGTTTTTCAAGATTTATCCGTAGAAACCCAACCTTAAAAAGCTTTGGAAAATATATCTCAAACATTCAAAACTCATTAGATACCTTTAAGATTTGTAACATGTATTCACTAAAAATTTGCTACCATCTCAAAACTAGATGGATGAAACTCATACCTTTCATTCAATATTCTGTATTTACAACATAAATGTTTCCAAGACCAAGATCAAGAAGTGATAAAGGTAATCTATATGTCAAATATTTTTGAGATTCTTGACACAAACTCGCTTCTTCTTCAGCTAATGCTCAATCATAATCTCAACAAGTTTTCTTAATATGTCATGCACAATATTGGTTCTATCATCATATTTGTTCGCATTTAAGATAGAGACTCTTCTCGAAGCATTACAACTCCGAGCTCTAGGCATAATTGCTTCAAGCACATTCTTTATACATTTTTTCCCTAAAAGAATTACATTTTTTAAGTCTACATTTGAATTTTAACTTCACTTTTCAAAGTACTCATTTTTAGCCCCTATTTGATTTTCATTATTTGGCCACAAAAATGAAAAATATGACCCGTTATCCATCACATTAAGTCATTATATTATGATTCCGTTTGGTATACATTAATGTAAAAATGAGAATGAAAAATATAGCTGTTACGGACCTTATACAAGAGATAAAAATTCAAATTTGATGGTTTGCTGTGATGAATAACGATCATATTTTTCATTTTAATGAAAAAATAATGAGAAACAAACGGGGGCAATCTAAGAATAAGAATGAAAAATAGGAATTAAATGGGTGCTTAATCATATATTGTTAAAAATTTATTTTCATAGTTTTCCACAACTATTTCCTTCTTTCAAATGATATATATTTTTGAAAAAAAAAATAAAAATTACTTTTCAAATAATCTCTCACATGTTAAGTAATTATAATTAGTAATTAAATAAGCTGAAAAAGCAAATCATGTCACATGATTTACATATTCATCATAAGATTCCCTGTAAAATTGCACCTCATACGAATTTCCACCCATACCCTTCACTCAAACACCCTTCTCATCACTGACTAAGGTCAAAAAAGTAAGTTCATACGCGACAGGCGCGTCTTCCCAGATTAAACCGAATTTTATTTATTTTTTATCCCGCCATTGCATGGCTAAATTCAAACTTTCAAAATCCCTCCTAATCAAATTTCCAAAACCCTAATCCCCGCCAAGTCAACAACCATTCTCAACGGTATATTATTTATGTGTACATATATATGTACGCATTGCGTAGAGATTTTTCTGTCCTTGGGAATTTTTTCGTCAAAACCCACAAATATTCGGGAAGAAACAGTAGAATTTTGCGTGTGTGCGTGGGTGGATGGTTAGGTGAGTGTAGGTGTATAGAGTTGAAACTTCAAAGAAATGGCTTTACGTAGTGCAGATATGTCGACTGAATCTGGATCGAAATACACGCCGTATTGCCGGAAGCAGAAATCACTTGGTCTACTGTGCTCCAAGTAACTTTATTTGGGAACCCCTTTTTTTTTGTATTTAGGTACGTGTATCTGTATGCAGAAGTATGAATGTTTACCGTTCGATTACGCAGTTTCTTGAGCCTGTACAATCGGGACGGTGTGGAATCAATTGGACTTGATGATGCAGCCTCTCGATTAGGTAATCATTTGAGAATTCTAAAGCGTTTCGTGAATTTGAAGATTATATATAATGTTTAATTTAAGTATTTTTTGTAGGGGTGGAAAGGCGGCGGATCTACGATATTGTGAATGTTTTGGAAAGCGTTGGTGTAAGAATTTCTAATTTTTTAAACTTCTTTAAGTTGAAGAATAATTGTTATTTTTCGTTTTCTGAAACTTGTTTAATTTAATAGGTTGAATTAGAATAGAAATAAATTTTGAATTTGGCAATTTCAGATTCTTGCTAGAAAGGCGAAAAATCGATATACTTGGAAGGGTTTTCAAGCAATTCCTAAGGCTTTGCAAGATCTAAAAGTAATATTTCGTTTGCACCCCCAATTCCTTCTAATGCTCGAATCTTGAAATTGAATTTATTGCATTTTAAATAGTAATTCAGTAAAGAACAGTGATTTATACTTTTGTTATTTTTAATGCTGTTATAGAATGAAGGTTTAAAGGAGAATTGCCATGGAGCTGATGGGAATTGCTCTGAGAAAGTAAGTAGCCGTTTCTTGATATTTTCACTATTAGTCATCACTAACAAGTTCGATAAAATCGTACATCCTCATCATCCAATCAAGAATATATATTTTCCCTACAGATTCATGGACTTCCTAGAATTAAAATTCTGTTTTTCTTATATCCAAGAGCAGATAGAAAAATGCGTTTGGTCTTTGAGGTTTTCCACTGCAGCAGTAATTCCTCATCTTCTAGTATCTGACTTTATCACTCCAGCATAAGAAAATGCTTTCTTCACAAAAACTAATGAGCAAAACCAAGTCAAAAAGCACTAGGATTCTAGTTCCATACTTCCCAACAAATTCACAGCATCTGCACTTATAATTAACCCTTACCGTTTTTGAAACAAACGATCTCCTCTTGTATGGCACTTTTGTCATGTGGGGATATAGGATTTCCTTGGCAGGCAGGAGTTCGTTAAGCAGCGTCTATCCCTTTTTTTGTAAGCAAAACATTAACACACCCTCAGTGAGTTTTTAGGCTCCAGAAAGGAAGGCTGATAGGGCTTAAGGATAGACCGATTGTATATAATATCAAACTCATGAGAACAAAAGGAAGGGGAACATGAACCTAATCTCCCAGAAGCATAACAATGCAACATATAAAAGAATGAAATAAATGGTGAAGCATTACTTCTTATACAAAGCAAGCAAGTGAAAAGCAAACTAATGACCTCTAATACTAGAAAGTCCATATTGGTCCATCTGTACAAGGGCACGAAGTCTTCATGATAGGTTAAGCGATCTATACTCCTGATAATGGCGTTGGTCCCAGCCATTGGATGCAAGCAAAATAGAAATGTGGGAAACACTATTACAATCAAATGTAAGGGTGGGCGCGGGTCGGTTCGGTTAGGTTCTAAAGAGAATCGAACCGAACCAAAATTTTCGGGCATTTAGCAAATGGAACCGTTAGGTCCAAATATAATTATGGAACTGTTCGGGTTCGGTTCCGTTCGGTTCTCTACTATAATTAAATTTTTTAACATTTATAACAACATTATATAAATACAACTAATGACACATTCAATAGTTTTGAAATGTCAGATACTAGTAGACTACCTTATTCAAATGATCGCTACGGTCAAAATCTCGGTTGGCGGAGGTCACAGCGTCGGTCGACGATTGTATAGGTTTTGGAATGTCAGCGAGGCTGCAAAAGTCGAGACAGCGTTATGCACTTTAGTGTAGGTGTTTAGGGTTATTTAGTGGGTTGGATCTTGTTCGGTTAAGAAATGAGACAATAAAATGGGTAATTGTGCCAAAAATTAAAAATGAAACAAATTATTGGGCCAAAAATTTAGATTTAGAAATTTTTAATTTGTTTAGAAAAAATTAAAATAAAAATAATTTGATTTATTCAATATAAGAAAAAATAGAAAGATTCGGTTCTTGGTCTAGAACCGAGAACCGAACCGTACCCGTCGATTCTCAATTTAGATACCCGTTGGGGTACTAAATTTGACAAGAACCGTCGAATTCGATTCGATTCGTTTCGGGAGATTTGCCCAACCCTAATCAAATGAGAGAAAGTGCTCAATTTGTCCGAGAGTAATTTGAATTGCCCATGGTCTTTTACCCTTAGAGTGTGTTTGATTGACATGAAAAATATCACCTAGAAAAGAAAATGTTTTCCATCTTTTGTGGAAAATAAAAACCACCTCTACCCAAAGAAAATATTTTTCTTAAAAACAAGGAAAATTAGGTATATTTTCCATGGAAAAAAATAGCAATCAAACACTTTAAATAGAAATTTGGGTGGAAAACTGATATTTTCCATGGAAAATAAATGTAATCAAACACACCCTTAGTGATGCTGTGAGCGGCCATAGACAAGTCAGCTTCCACCCTTATGTTATATAATCTAAGTTGTCAAACAAGTAAAATCACATTCAAAATAGCTCGTACCATAGCCTCCAGAATAAGACAACCTCTATATGATGATGAGGAATCCTTACTGCAATGTCCATCGTGGTCTCGAATAATGCTCCCATCACTAGCAAAATCATTCTTGATGCATCTATCAATATTGATCTTGTAAGATCCCACCATTAGGGCATGCCAATGAACCAATATAGGGGATGCTGTGAGAGGAAGAGTCAAAGAAATGCCAAAAAGTGAGGCGATTGTCAAGTACCCACACCAATGAACCGGCTACAATAAATGACCCATGTAGAGGAATATATCATGCGGTAGATTCACCAAATAATCCGTTGAGGCTCCGTGCGCATCTCCCTGTGCTTCACATCATTCCTTGCAATCCATAAAAATAAAATATTAACTATGCAGTGACAATGTAAATATAACCATTCCAAACATATTGGCTCGAATATCTCCATCTCTGGAATTGATGTCTAACACCATCTCTTGATCTCATAGTTAAATGAAAGATATCTCCAAAATGACATCATATCTAGTCAGAAATGGTGCTACCTGTGAAAATGTGTGTAGTAGTCTCGATTTTTGAGCAACACTAACATCGGTGAGCCATCTAAATCTTCCTCTGATTAACTACATCCTGCCACAGTTCTCAGCAAAAGATAAAAACTGTAGTAGGTATAATGGAGCTTTGCGTCAGTCGATATGAATCCTAAGACTATCGATTAGAACGGACTAACTGCCAAGGTGACTTGGTAACAAAACTACCATCAGGTGCATCTCTCCAAATCACTCGATCCAAGATATTTGCGCATAGATGTATAGCTCCAATTAGCTCAACTATAGATGGTGGTAGAGACTTTGAAAGTCGTTTAATATTCCATCTCGTACCATCATAAAAGACTTGCACCTCTTAAATATGTGTTGCCGATGAGGGAATAAGGATGCCAAGATAGCCTTGCCCATTCAACAATCATGCTATAAGAAAATCTGTCATGCACCAAGGTGCCACGTAATGTGTGGCTCTACCTTTGGTCCTATTAGCTTTAACTTTTTCCAAATAGGTGAGGCTGAATATGGAACTATTGCTAATAGAGGGTGAGTTCCCATGCGATATTTGCCCAGCAAGAACTGATCCCACAGTGATCTTTATGAACGAAAAAGCCACCAAAGCTTCGGGGAAAAGGTATCAACAAGGTCATGCAATCTCTTGAAACCTAGTCCACCCTCATCAGTTGGAAAGCAAAGATTCTTCCATCTCCTCAATATTATCCACTTGACTGATTCTTGGAGTCCTAAAGGAATATACTCTCTAGCTTCTTCAGCACTAGCTTGGGCAAAAAAATTCAAAAAATCGATCAAACCAATCAAATGGAACCAACTCGAGTTGATTTGGGTCAATTTAGCTTAGGTAATTAGTTTGTTTTATTTTTTTAAACAAAATTATAGTGGGTCAGTTCAGTCATGGTTTGAAACCTTAAATCAATGGTTAACCGAATCGACCAAACCCACTTACATTTTATCTTTTTTAATTTGTTAAGAAAAATAAAAATTAAAAGATAAGCTCTATCTTATAACTATATCTCAATTACTTTCAATGTATGATGTTGCTAGTAAATAATAGCACTGAAAATTTCATTTCACAAACTTATTATGTTATATTTAGCCTTTGTTCCCTACTTAAGCAGTCAAGCTATATAATGCATAAAATAAAAAAAATTAAGTTTTATGTTGATTTGTATCTATTAACCTGATTTTATTTGTTAATAAATAGTTCTTGTAATATAAAATTATTTAGTTCTTGTAGTATAAATGGGCCTAACACTCGAACAATTTAAAAAAAAAAAAAAAAAAAAATCAATTTGAACTAAAAGTCCAAACTAACTTACCGAACTGATTTGGTTTAAGAGTTAGAGTGGGTTGATTTGGATTGAACTTTATCTAAACCCATTAATTTGATTTTGTTTCGGGTTAGAGTTGAAGCCGACCCGAACCTAACCATGCCCAGGCCTAGGCATTGTCTTGGGAGGTTGTATAATATAAGTAGATAAAGTGGTATAGAGAAAAGAACGGATTTCAACAGTGTAATCCGATTCCCATAAGATAATAGACGTGAAGCCCAACTTGATAGATTTTTTAATATTCTACTACTTGGTTTTGTTATCTGTGTAAACTTTTCACTTTTGTAGAACGACAGAGTTGAAATAATGAATTGTATTAATAGAAACAATGCTAAAATTCTACTTGTACCATAGCATTGTAGCAAGAATCCTCATTTTTTTATTTTTTCTCTCAGGTTTCAGATGACGATGAAGATGAAACCTACTCAGATACGAACAACTTAAGTCAGAATGACAAATCAAACCCCAATTCTTTTCGTAAACTCTCAGAGCCAAAAAAATCTGGTAATAAATACTGAAATCTTTCAGTGGCATGCTTCTGCTTATGACATTTTACCTTAGATATTTTTGCACTTATTTCTTGAATTTTATTTTTAATTATAGGCGACAACAGAAAGGAGAAGTCCCTGGGGCTTCTTACACAGAATTTTGTTAAGCTCTTTCTTTGCACTGATGTAAGTGTTAACTTCAGATTTATTCGTCTTCTATGATTCATGTAAGTTTCCCAGTTTCTGATCATCACTATATGGTCTCATGTTTTCATTACCCCTTTAGATGGAATTGATATCTCTTGATGATGCTGCAAAGCTGTTGCTTGGGGATGGAAAGCACACTTCAATGACTACCAGAAGTAATTTTGGTTTTCCTTTCAATGATTTTACTAATATAATTAATAATAGATAATCAGGGAACCCTTTGATTAACAGTATTTTTCTATAATTATGCAGCAAAAGTTAGAAGGCTGTATGACATTGCCAATGTCCTGTCATCCATGAAATTTATTGAAAAGGTGATCCATCTTGATAACTCTTCTGCTAAATCTGCTGTAATTAACATTGCGGAGTCCTAAGCTAACTATCTCAAAATATGTGGGGTGATTAAAAAAAAAAAAAAAAACTAATGGGGCATCTAAAAAATTACTAAAATGTGTCTCGGATTACCTGCAGATTCATCACCCGGAAACAAGGAAACCTGCTTTCAGATGGTTGGGGCTACAAGAAAATGGACCTGCTAACGAGTCGAAGAAAAGGGTATTTGGGACTGACCTTACAAATTCCACGTTAAAGAGGTGTAAGGTGGATGGCAATGCTGAGCTGCAGCTGCAAAAGCAAGTTAAAAATCAAAGTTCGGAGAATGAAGTCGACACATCGAGAACAAGTGCAAAGAGTTTCCAGTTCGGTCCTTTTGCACCTGTAAATGTGCCCAAGGTTGAAGCTTCAGGAAACGGCAAACCAAAACAAGTTATTCATTGGGAAAGTTTAGCCTCTACTTATCGGCCTCAGTATCATAACCAAGGTATCTTTTACTTCTGTATAGAATAAGTTTCAAAAGTAATGTTACTGCTATTTAAATGACAGCCATTCTAGATGTTGCACTGGCACTGATCGAACTATAACTTGGACAATCATATAATATCTTCATTCTATTATGCTCTCGCTTCTTATGGCTGACTTTTTTGACATTTTATATGCATGTTAATCATTATGTAACTCCAGTACAAGTAATTTTCTTCTTCCTCGAATATGCTGCAACGCTTATTGATATTAGATTTGCATTTGTTTATGATATTACAGCTTTGCGGGATCTCTTCTCACACTATGTTGAAGCATGGAAATCGTGGTACTCTGAAGTTGCGGGGAAGAAGCCAATACAACTAATGTCGTAATAACAGGGGCAGACGCAGAGATTTTGAGTTAGGGAAGTACAATTAAATTTTGTACAAATCGAATACTTTATTTTTTATTTTTGAATGATTAATATTTGAGCCGAGAAAATGCATATTTATATTTAAAAAATATTTCTTCATTAATATTTTGATCATCATTTTCATTTATTTGATTTTGAACAGTTATTTTAATAATATTTTGTTCATCACAAGAAAATACATATTTATATTTTAAAAAATAGTGTATTTGATACAAAAAATCAATTCAAATAATCGAAAAGAAAAAACGTATGATTAATGTTCAATACTAATAATCAACAAATAAACACAATTCATTATATATAAGTTAAATTTTATATAATCAATTTATATACATGTTATATACACAAATATAGTAGGAGAAAAAAATTTTATATAATCAATTTATATACATGTTATATACACAAATATAGTAGGAGAAAATGCAAATTTAGATTCTAATTAATTGAAAATTTGATTGGAAAGTGGAAATTTGCAGTAGATGTAATAATTATAGAGACATTATAAACAAATTTTAAAAAATTAGAAAGATTAAAATTTTGATTAGAGGCGTGAGGGAGTAAGTAAGATAGAGCAATAAAAAAGAGAGAGAATTCAAATTTATTGTGATTTTGTCCCTAGAATTAAGGTTCGATTTTTAGTAAATTTTGATAAAATTTAAAAAAGTTGAAGAATTCATGAAATATGTTAATAAAATTAATTTGTTAACTTTCATTTAGATTAAAATTTATATTTCAATCAATACAAAACAAGAATTTATATATATATATATATATATATATATATATATATATATAAAAAAATTCTCAAAAGTTGGGGGGGTCAAGTGACCCCTCAGGAGTCAGGACGCCCCTTGGGTCCGCCCATGCCTAGTAATTTGGTGGTATACTTAATGATCTAATCTCTAATGCATATTCTCATTGCACAAGGTTGAGCAGGATATCCTCGTAGAAAGCTATCATCTCTAATATTTAGGGCTGGATCTCAAAGTTGATACTCTGTTTACAAGATACATCTGTCATTTTAGCAGTTTTTCATTATGTCAGAATCAACGTACATTTAATTCAAGGTTCATACCATTAGTTTTTTTGAATATGAATTGATTTCTTCAATATAATCATGTTTTGGCTGTTCATAGAATGTTTATTGTCAATTGTAGGATTGGTTCTTTATCACGGAATTAGCAGTGTATATTTGAGTAGTTTTTGCAAAATGAATTGCCCAAAACTGTTCATTTATTCAACCAGAAAGTAAGGAAATTACACATTACAAAATGAATAGCCCAAATATTGTTTAGATTGAGGAAAATTATTGTTTTAGAAGATTATTAATTTATCGATAGATTATGTAAATCTATTATTGGTGAATGGTACAAAAAGTGCGATGGATATCGAGCACTTCTTTAGTTATCTTAATGAAATTAAAGTGATGATGGAATGAGGAATGCTATTTACGCTCACTGAGGTTACAACTCTAGTTTAGGTGATTTTAATGTGATATTAAATGATATGTGAAATTAAATAAGTAATTTCATCTTTCCATTTTATTATCTAGCGCTATCTAAATTGTGGGTTGTAATTCCAATGAGATTGTAAAGCATTATTCTAATGGAATAATTGATTGTCAAAGAAATTATTCAAAAGTTTTTGAAATCGTTTCTCGAGGATAATCATGATTTAGATATCAGTGTATTTTACAACCATTTCTCTAAAATAAGTCTTTACAACATCATAAATTTAAGTAATGGGAGCGTTCCTCCTACCAATACTTTTGACAAATAATTTTCACAAAAAAATCTCGACCGTTAATTTAAATTGATCTAATGCTGTAGATGATTTAATTAAAATCCTTCGAAATTTAAAAATGGAAAACTCCACGACACATTCCCACTCCCCTTATTACCGTTCAGCTTATACTCCTATTCCCTTATTCAAACTCTCAATTTATACCATCCCGTAACTATTTTTTAATCGATTTCTCCATAAGGTTTGATTTTGTTAGCAACTGTTTCAATTTCTTGGCCCGTATTAGCTCACAATACTACTCAAGTAAATTACTACACACCTTGGGACACTCACTCGTTTAACACTATCGTTTTGTAGGGAATCTTACAAGGGTGGTGAGGGAGAGACTTGAGGGTTTTGAACAGAGAATACTTTGACGTCGGTGAAGATTATGTTATTCATGAATTAGTCTATTCTTTTAATAAATTTATGAGTATTTTAGTCATAATTTCTATGGATTATTCGACACTTTGAAGTCGAGAGTATTTCAAGATAGCTATTTCTCTAGTGGACCATTTGCCTCCTCGAAACTTCTAGCCTCCAGGATTGAATTCTTGCAATGTCAAATCTAAATTAATAAAGAATTTTTAACCGGAATATATGAATTCATATCTATAACTTTGAATACATCCCAGAATTTATATCAACTACAAGTTTTGATGTGATGCTCTAATTTACCCTAAAAATTTGTGATGGCTATATCATTTAACTTCCAAATCTAGAACGAAAGATTGTTGACTATATATAGGCCTTGTTTGAGCCATATTATTTGAAAAAAATACATTCTTCAACGATGATTTAACATCATTTCAACCACACATTCTTTAATAAATTAATATTACACGTAAATCCAAATATTTCCTTATTTTTTAACCATACATTTCTCATCAATATACTATTCAAAAATGTATTTTCATTCCAATAATGTGGCTCAAACTAGGGCATGATTAAAAAAAAGGGGGGGGGGGGGGTAATATCGGTTTTAGGTGAGCATTAATGCAAATAGTGGGATGTAAATGGATTGCCATTTCAAGACCCGTTTCTTGTATCAATTTGAAGAGAGTCATAGAGAGGACACGGGAAACATAGATTGTGGGGGTCGGAGCGTTGTGGGTTTTCCATTTTTAAATTTCTAAGGATTTTAATTAAATCATCCATATCGTAAGATTAATTTAAATTCAGTATCAAAACTGTTTGTCAAAAATATTGGTAGGGAGAATGCTCCCCTTAAGTAATTACATTTTATGTAATGTGAAAAAATATAGAGATTTGAGTACAAAGATGCATATTTTTCGAAGAAATTAGAATTGAAAAAAGCAGCTGTAGTCTGTGAAAAGTTCCTTAATGTATATTCTAAAATTGTATGAATTTAACTATATTTCCACTGGACACTAAAGTATTTTAAAAATTCTATTATTATATATATTTTGCCAAATTATGAATTTACCGATTGGTCTATCCCTAATAATTAATTCTTTTTGTTTCTTCACTTAATAAAAAGAGAGTCATATTCGAACACATTTTGGGGGGAAATAATTACTTTCTTAACTAAATAATCTTGATAAAAACTTGCAAATGCGGTCCAAGTAATTTTCAATGAAAATTAACTTCCAAACATACCACCCATAATGTACTCGAAAATCGAAAAAGTGACTTACCAAGATACTTAGGTTACCACTAAGGGATGTTCATTAATTTACAAATTAATATTGTTATGCCACATAGCAACCCTAAGAATGTATAACTCTAGATCCTCCGTTGAAGTCTAAATGACACAACATGTTTAATAGGGAATACTCAACAAATTTACTAAGGTCCTATTTGATTCTCATTTTTATTATAATATATGTTTTTCATTAAAATAATATTATACTTACACACATTCTCCATCAATATATTATTCTAAAATTCATTTTTTTCATGAAAATGAATGTCAAACACCCTTTAAGTTTAAAGACACAAGGTAATTAAATTTGGCATAATTCTACATGAACATTATGGTCTTCATAATATACATGTAGCATAACCTTAAAATTATATGACTTGTACAATGCAATCCGAGTTAGATTAAATTGTTTAGTGTGGAAGAAATACAAGAATATATCAATTTGACTACTCAAACTAGCACGGACACATGACGAATTCAAAACATTTAAATTATATATTTAAAAATAATAATTCCAAACATGGTTCATTAGGCAAGAAACCATGCCCAGTTTATACAATGTGTTTTTGGTAAGTAAATTGGGTGGTAGATCACGGCAATATTCTAACTTCATTTGTTCTCATGCAAGTGAACGATCTATATTTAGCACATAAAAAAAAAGGTTGAACACCTTGAGGGCCCCCACCGCTCCGTTCCTAAAGCTTTGTGAAGGAGGTAAATTACGGGATATGCCCCATCAAGTAGTAATAAAAGAAGAATATAAGGGCAAAAACAATCATAATTGCACAACCATTCTACACAATATTAACAATGCACACTACTATACAATTCTACAAGTACTCAATAGTAACATAACCGGTCAACACAATGCTAACAACATCTAAATCTCCGTTAACTTATCATACAACACTCATATATCTAACTTTATGAAACTAGATTTTGTTTTCCAACTTGAATCAGTACCCAAAAATTTGAAAGTGGAAGATGTTTGTCACAAGGCCACATGATGATTTAACAAAAACTTTTAAATCCCCTTGACATATTGAACAATTTACTATGTATATAGCCTTAGCAAGGTGCAACAATAGTAACTATTATACAAAATATTAGTGCAATGTATTCTCAGAAAAGCAAAATAGTTGTCTTCCACTCTCAATCTCAACAGCTCAAATTAATTCAAAAGCTCCCCAAAATTTTCATCATAAAAGCATATTCCAAATTATTGTTCCAACCATCGCATTATCAACTGAGCTATTCATTCCCCTCAAAAAAATCAATTTCAACTATAATTCTACCCATATTTCTTGATAATCAGTTCCAAACTTGAGCACCAAAAGATGATTATGATAAATTCACACAGTCGACCTCAAATTTATTGGTGCTGGACACGTTGCTCGTACATTCACGAGAACTATTATTGGAGGCTATGGAGCTAGTAAGGTACACCAATTCTTTCACCATTTAAAACGAAAGTCCATTACAATTTATTTTATTTTTTTTAGAGGGGGGATGAACTATCCAGGGGCATTTAGGAGGATAAAACGACAACGTACCAACAGAGGCTGATATAGAGATGAATAATGTCTACCCCCTTTTTTATGCAACCATTGAAAGGCATCATAATAATCTCTATTACCAGACATCAATAACTAGATGACAAAATTAGGTGCACCAAGAGAAGCCTAAAATTCCACAGGAAAAACAGAAAATTTGAACTGCCTACTAACCAGATCCTGCTTTCATATAGTGTAGAGTAGACCATTTATAGTACACAAAAATTTAATTGAGAAACATAATCGACGATGGTCCGAGTCTCAGATTCAAGATGCCTTGAGTGAAGGGGAAAAAACTAAAGGACCTGTTTTGAGACCATTTTCAGCAATTGTATCCACATACACATAATTGCCTCAATCTGCAAAATGTCATATAATAGAGAAGAGAAAGCATACAATTTATGCTTCGAATAGTGCAAAATGAACAATAAGTAGAGCAACAAATGCAACTATAGCAATAAACTTTCATAATACAGTACTATACGTAGAGCTGTTTTCTGAAAATCAAGAATAATAATAGTAAAGTAGATAAAACAAGTTCGAAAACCAATCAAGTATTATATGTCATGTCACTCTACTGTCAGGAAGCCTACTGGTTATCTTAATAAGATAAAGGAGACAAGTCATTTCCAGTAGAGAAAAAAATATAATTCAGCATAACCAGAAACCCACTTCTTAAAAGTAGTTTTCAATAATGCATTAACTTCGGTGAAAGGACGTACTACATTGCAAGTTGTACACTCCAGGATGTAAAACTTCTAACAATAAGAAGCTGTCCCAGCCAAAAAAGTATAATACCATTAATGGACCTAATTAGAGATGGGCTTATAAACAATCACATTAAGAGGTAAAGAAGTAGGGTCATCGTTGAATCAAGGATTCCAAATATACGGTTTGGATAATAAAAGGATTTAAAATTTAGATTTACACGTAAGTTATTTAAGATTATAGAGAAAAACTTCAAATAGCTCCAATTATGAGATAATTACGAAATCGATGGTCACTAATAATGCTTGGCGGACATGGGATGAAACCACATAATAATCAATATTATTCTATCAAGCTTGATAGTCTATTATAGTTTTGAATCTCAAGCCTCCACATCCAACAAAATGGAACCAAAATAGGTTGCAAACTAAACATATCCAAGTTTGAGTAAATGAAACACATACCTATTTTAGGATTTTTATTGTGATATAAAGAAATGTAAATATTTCAAAACACTATATATAAGGCAACATAGTTTTTCAGTAAGAAGTAATTAAAATATTTGTTCAATAATGCCTAGACTAGATATTTTGAATAGTTAATTTAAGTGGGAGTCACGTGAAAGTGAAGGGTCCCAAAAAAAAATAGCATAGTTTTATAGCTGTTTTTTTTTTTTTTTTTTTTTTTTTTGAATGAAACAAATGATTTCTGTTAAAATAAATAGCTGCGAACAGCGAATTAAATCAAAAAAGGTAGTAATGGTGTACAATATAACCAACTGAAAGAGTCATCTATCAGACATGCAAAGACCGCACTTTCGTGGGCTACCTTATTGCCATCTCTGGAATAGAGCAACAACACGGCAATATCAGAGCAAATAGTCTCATTTGGCACAAAAGAAAATTTTGAAGACTGACTTTGGACTAAACGTAGAGATCTGTACTTACCAGAGAACTCATAAAATTTGCTTCAGCTAACTTCTTTATGTTTTTGGTCGGGAATGCAATAGTTTTAGCAGAGTTTCAAGTAAGTTAAACTACTTCAAGAGTACACAAATATAAGCAAGCAAATTTTAAGGAATATATGGAAACGTGCAATTACCACAAAATAAGTGCAACACGAATGTCTGGAGAACCAAACCCAGGGCATTCTGTGTTAAGTAAGACATTGACTCCGTACCATCATGAGTTAGAAAATGGAATTATCTCCATAAGTTGCAAAAAGAACATGGAAATACAAACATCCGTAGCCAATGACTTCACATCAGATAATTTTACTCCAATAAGATATATGATAACAATAAAAATCACAAGGAGAATGACATGTCAAAATAAAGACAACGAATTGGAGTTGATGCCAGTATCAGGGAAGAGAGAACAGTTAGATATCCGCACTACCCATGCAAGTATAAATGTCATTTCCACGACTCAAACCCATGACCTCCAGATTGATTATAACTAATTCATCCAATCCATCCCTTTTTTGACAAAAAGAAAAAAACTTGTGTATGCTGTATGTGTGTAAATGATTGGGGGAGTGGGGGAATCAGGAAAAAATAGAGCAGCTGAAGGACAAAGCTACTAGCTTATTAATTACATTGTTTGCTTTCTACTCAAACTACAGGGGCAGATTCAAGTTTTACATGCATAAAGCCGACAATGACAATAGATAAGTAAAAAAACTAAAACTTACAAAGTAGACTAATTGAGAATCTATTTTACAGCGGTAATTTTGATGGAGTACCTGGAGCACGAGGATATTTCTTTGGGGTGGGACCATCTTTTAGACATATAACTGCTGTTCTTTGCCCATATTTGCTGTGTGATTCCACTGGGATTAAAACAACAGGAAATATCAATTATTTACACAGGTTACTTCAGCAGTGCAGGCTTTGTGGCTTTGTTTACATTTGAATGAGTCAGGTGGATTGAGGTGCAAACCAAGTCTCTAGCTGTAGGAACCTAACTGTTACTTAGTGCAGTTAACACATTTTAATGAACAAATACAAAGAGCAGTCATATCAAAACGAAGTTCACTACAAGTGCCCTAGATTTTCTTTGGCTATCATGGGATTCCAGGGAGAGAACACACTAACAGAATGGTCAGAAGTTTGTTTACCTACTCATGTTAATTCTGATATCAACATATTTAGCGAGAGAAAAAAATGCATTTCAGAAAATTGCAAAGTTGGGTAATTTAAGATAATACAGTAGGGAACTAATGAAACATCAAACAGATTTCCACTGCTGATATTTTAGTTTGTTACTGTTTGCATTCAAGACAAATAATCTAAAATTAGATCATTAGCAACATACCAGAACACGTTTGCAAAAGAGAAGCACCCATCAAACGGATAGCTCTTTCAGCTCTTGCAACTTCCTCCTAGAATGTTGTTTACAGTAAAACTTATTATCTGAAAATATCTGCAATATACACCTCCACATGTATACATCTATACACAGACACAAATACAACATATATGTGTACTCACATAACTGTGTGAAAACAAACATTCGCCACCCAAATACACAAATATGTGCAAAATGGTTGAAGAAAGAAAACAAAAAGAACTGAGTATGTACTCATGCAATTGATAATCTATAGAAATTACTTTGATAGCAACAAACCTGGGGATCATGACCCTTTGCAGCAGCAAACAAACCACCCACACGGACTAGAGGAAGACAGTACTCAGCTGCATACCAAAGAAGAACCAAATGTTCAAAGGGAGTTATATGATGCTCAAATTTACAGAGAATACACCCTCATTAGATCATGAAAGAAGAAATAACTTGTACCTAGAATTCTCATTTCTGCAACTGCTCTAGCAACTGCAACATCAAAGCTCTCTCTGAAGGCATCCTCTTGTCCTAAACACTGTCCTATTCAGATATGTGTGTACGTATAATTTGTTGGAGGAAATGTGTAAAACATCCAAAATAATAAGTAAAAATACAATAGAAGTATTTCAGGTATATGCCAACAACAATTCGTTAGAAAAGACGATTACAGACAGTAAGAAATAGAGAAACAAGCAATTGATTGATAATAAACCATCACTTGAGCGCAACTAGAGATCTGACATTTCAACTAAAGGACACAAACCAATAATGAACTTTAAGATATTTTGCAACTATTTGACAAAATGCTCTTCGCCTGGCATATATTTTACTGAATACACAACCTAAATATTCATTTATATTGGAAAATATTATATATATATATATATATATATATATATATAGGTGAAAAGACTACTTAAATACGATTCAAAAACTTACGAGAGATCTAAGAACTTATTAAACATCAGTTCCCGTGTCTCCATCAATATATACCAACCCTAGTGTCAAGCCCCAAAGTTAACTCTGGCACACATCTAATTTAATCCAGCATTAAACAAGCTGATCATCCATGCCAACTATCTTAAGAACTGGCAGATCAATAACTGGATGAGAGAAAAAAAAAAATACATATTTCATGTTCCAGTGAAAATATACCTCAGCACGGTCTCTTACAACTTGAACATTTGGCAAGCCAATGAGGCCAGCCACATTCTCCAAGAAGACACATCGCTTATTCATAGATTCCAATAATGTCACCTTCCAACCTATAATTTCGAGGCAAGAGAGAACACTTATTAGTATTCTTATATTCCCATATGACCGCACATTGAAAAGTAGTATATGAACAAATAACTTATAGACACAAGACATTACAAAAATTAATACACTTACCGGGGCACGCAATGGCCAGGATTAATCCAGGAAGCCCTGCTCCACTTCCAACATCAACAACTCTCATATTTTCAGAAGACTCTCCACAATGAGAAAGATACGAGGTACGAATAGGATCAATAATTGCCAAAGAATCCTCCACGTGCCTTTCCATCACCTCATTTTCTTCTTTCACCGCAGTAAGATTCATCTTCTAATGCACCCAACACAAGGGGAAAAAATAGCATAACCCAAGTCCAATGCAAATTGAACACATGCAAAATGTAGTGTTATATTACCTGATTCCATTGGAGAAGTGAGTCAATGTAGACATGAATTTGATGTTTCTGGTTCGAGGTTAATCCCTCGAAATGTGTGCTGTGGATACCACCTCCAGCGGAGAAGAGTGCGCGGGTGGCTTTATGGATTGAAATTGGGTAGAATTGAAGAGATGATTTTGGAGTTGGAAGGTGTTTGATGAATGTTCCCAAAGACAGTGTTGACGGGAGAGTGAAGACTCGGCTGCTGAGGGAAATTAGCATATTTGGCGCCTTGGGGATGATTGAATCAACCGTACCTGCTCCAATATATGTACAATTTTTCTCTCCATTTATCATCAACTATCCTCAAAAATAAATAAAAAATTAATTAATAAAAAATTCAGCTTGCAAGAAAAATTAGAAATATTTACAAATTTATCATTATAAACTGTTAAACAGATTAAATACTTCCTAATTATAAATAGCAAACCGAGCCCCATATTTTGAAGCTGTTTGATGCACATTATTTTTGCATTATTAGAAGAATTTTTATCGTTGAAGGGCCCCACTTGTTGACTTCTCTCTCACAATGCCTTAGATTTGTATGCTCCAACAGTAAGATTTTTCATTTTTTTGGACCAATAATGAGCTCCAAAACTTTATATATCACTTATTATTATTCAAAATTGTAATTTATAATTTCTTTAATCGAAAAAAAAATTAATTTTCTCTTTTACATATATCTTTTTCATAAAGTAATTTTCTATTAATTTAAATATATTAAAAACACTATTAACTTGACATTTTCTAATTTCATTTTTCACACAGAACTATATATTATTCTTTTTAGTATTTACCTTCCATTCTTAAAATTTCTTGTAAAAAGGATTAAAAAAAATGTATGAATTCTTGAAATTTTATTAAATTACAAAATGGTATAAAGTTATAAATAATGAAAAATACCATATATTATTTTACTTGATTTTCTAAAGTTATTCTCTGAACATAATTTATTTATTAAATGATGTATAATTAATCATTTCCATTTGTCGATTAATAGTGTTGGAATAATTTTAAGTTTTTGCTATTTTTTTCCAACACATCATTAATTCATGAAAAATTATTTTCTATTTTTCGATTAGTTGTAGTTTAAATAAAATGAAGATGATAAGTTTAAACTTCACAGAAAAAGGATAATGAAGCATGCTAGGTGTACATAATTTTTTACACCATCTTTGACAGCCGTCTCACATCACACGAGTAGGCCATCGTGGGGCCTCAACATTTTTCAAAGATTTTATCTTAAAGAAAAAATATTTAATGAAACATCATAAAGTTCTAGCAATTATTTTTTAAAGAACAAGAAAATATTTAAACAAACGATACGTAAAGTGTTACATAAATTGATAGAATTTTTCTCAATGTACAAAAGTTGTGTTCATAGAACCCGATCAGATAGCTCACAAAAGAGTGTGTCCCACAAAATAAAAAATGCCAAAAATTAAACCACCTACGCCACCGTGAGGTGACTGTTGCTTCTCAAATTAATATACAGGGTATGTTTTATTCTTTTTAATTAAGGATATTTTGGCCTCTTTAGCTACTTATAATAGCAAAATTTAAACAATTCTATTTTTTCATAAAACACGTTTTTTCTTTTTCCAATAAGTAAAATATAATATGCAGAATGTAAATTTGTAAAATAAGATATGCAAAATGTAAATACAACCGAAATACAGGATCTCTTTCGTAAATTTTCAATAAATATATTGCCTCAGAAAAATCGATTTTAAGCAATGCTTTTCTCCAACCATTGTTCCTAATTAGCATAGGCCTCTAAAAATGGAACATAACTCAAGTTCATACTTACATTATCTTTATTTTTAGCTTGGCTTGGTTTTGATGTTGGTAAGTTTTGTAGAAGAGAATTGCACTATTGCCCGGCTAACAAGTTGGTCCACATATTTTTCTTAAGGCGCACATTGACCAAACACAATTTTTTTTAACATATATATGTAGTCCTTGTTTGAGCCACATTATTTTCATAAGAATGTATTTTTAAATAGTTTATTGATGAGAAATGTGTAGTTAAAAAATAAGGAAAGGTTTTTTATTTGCATGTAGGAAAATTCCACTGTACATAATTATTGCACATAATAGTGTCCATTATGTGATGTAGCAATTATCTGATTGTTGATGTGTAAGTGTGAGATTTGAATTAAAGGTTGGATCCAGTGCCACGTGTAATTATGAACACCATTAGGTAGATAATTATGTACCTATAACACTTCCCTTGCATGTAATATTATTTTCTTGAAGAATATATGGTGAAAATGATGTCAAATTACTGCTTAAGAAATCATTTTTTGAAAAAATGTAGGTCAAATAGAACTATAGTTCCGTAATCAGCCTTTATCAATGAAAACCATCTACATTTTTTTGTGAATTTTCATCATGTGATCCTCTATTGTTCAACTTTGTTTAGTTGAGTTTCGTTTTCTCGACTTGGGCAGAGGTCTAAAAATGTAAAGCAAAATATGTTTCAATAAAGGCCATAAATTTGGATGGCTTATTTGCCCTTTAATGTACTGATCAATTCACTCAATTGTGTTCAGAATATAACCAGAAAGGAAAACCTATAAAAGTATGTCTAGAAGCTTTACTTTTGAGTTGCAACATAATTATTTTATGACTAGATGCTTTACTTTTGAGTTGTAACATAATTATTTTATGACCTTTATTTTATTTTGGTATTTTTATATATCAAGAAAAAGAAGCAGCATAAAGTGTTCTTTTGTTTCCAATTTTATTTCTTAAGCATTTAGTACAAGAAGATAAGTTTTTATCCAGGAGACACCCACCAACTCAGCAGAGTTTATACAGTACTATAAATTCATATTATTTGTATATAATTTCACATTATTCTATTTTCAACTAAGTCCAATGTTTGGTGAAGATTATTTTAGAACAGATTTCGTGTATATATACATATGTTTTGAAATAGCCCGCCCTGGTGTTTGAAACAATGGACCTTTTCTTGTTTTCGCTCCGTCGTCCTAGTTAAATTTTGAAAGAATTGAAGCTATGAAATACGGTAGTTGATGAATGTTCGACATTAGATCCATATGCAGTACTTTAGGCGTCTCTCTCCTTTATATGAATGGTTTTGTACGGAGGACGTGCATGTTTCAATGATGTTATAACTGTTACGTCATCTCTTCATGTCATCTATAAGTGCAACATGGTCCACAATTGAACTCAATTAGGACAAAAGGATTGACCATTGAAAATAGTACTCCTCCTTATCGTTCTGAACATGGCACACGAGTTAGCCTCGATTATGCATTCAAGTTGAACGTCTACTCGACCAAGTTGTACAAGGTCTATTAATATTTTATGATATTTTTGTGCTTCACTCCATTTAATGGTTCCTTGTGTTTTCAAAGAGATTTTACAATGATTACTTAGAAGATGTTGGTGGTCTACATATATCACTTGGAAGCTTTTAGGACTTGTTTCGTATACTATAGGGGATAAGATTAAGAGGAGTGAAATTAGGAAGTACTCAATTAAGGTGTATTAGAACATGTTATTCTAATACAAAACTGGTGGTACACCTCATTAGAAAACCATACCAGCTACTGAAAATAAAAATTTTAAAAAAATTATATTATCTTATTTTTTGTTTATAAATTTCAACTCATAAGCAAATTTTTAGTTATTAGTGTATTTTTCTTATAAGTGACATTTTTCAGTATGTTACTTTTTTTTTTTTAACTCATGGAAATTTTTTACTTATAATTAAGTGATTTTTAATTAAAATATATTTTTACTTAGAAGTGAACTAAATAATTCATTTTACTTATACGCAAATTCTAAATTTTAAATAAAAATTTTAGTTTATGTTTAGGAGGTATTTATAAATAATTAAATTACGTATTGATAGAAATGAGTGGCAAAGTGAATTCCTCAAAGTGTGGATAAAAAGTGACTTGAGTGTTTATAAATAGTTAATAAATACCACCCTAACATAGGTTGCATTTTTACTTGAAAATTAATTTCTTATAATTATTTACATATAACTAAGTTTTTGTTTACAAGTAATTTTTTGTTATAAGTTGTCTCGTAAGTGAAATTTAGTTCTTATTTACTTGTGAGTAAATTTATGTATTCCAATTCATTTAATTTTTTATTAATTCATAAAATAGTGAATAAATTATGCAATATAAGTCCACCTCTTAAACGTATTGATTATTTATTTACACTCTGACTAAATGAGGATAAGTATCCCGAATTAATTTAATCTAATTACTAATTGCATCAAACATTAGATAAAGATTAATTATGATAAATTCTTGTTCACTCTAATACGGCGTGCCAAATGTAATATGTGATTCTTGCTTAAACAAGAGTGAGTCATTATGTTTTACAGATTCGAGATATCAGATGTTATATATTTTCGAAATTGTTAATTGACTCACGAGAATATTAATATAAAGTATTTTGCCATCCTAATCGATTAGAATTTAGAAAACTTTGTCCTTCTCTTTATAGATACATAACTCATAGGGAAATGAAAAGATAGATCGAATTGAGTATGTCTTAACCTTTCAACATATTTACAAAAAATGGGGGGGGGGGGGGGGAATAAAATAAAACAATTATCTCGAATATGAAGAATTAAACACATTACATTATGCTGAAAAATCACGATATTAGATTGCATGGCTTTTATTTATTAAAAATAAAAAAATTGAAGAAGCACATTATGTTGTGGACCACTGGCCCATGCGAGCCATGAAGTGTGTATAGCTAAGTTTCTAATTTCTAGTAGTAGATAAGCACATACATAGGGCTGTCCATAATGTCACGTGGCAGTTTATCATTTACCTGTTTAAAACACAATCAACTTTATCAATGAATCTTTTCCCTCCACATTACATTATGTCATCCTTTATGTACACGTAGCAAAATCCTTTACTGTATTATGATATAAAGATTATAAATATATTTTTAATGAATTAATAAAACTTATGATCGATCTTCAAGTAATAGTAGCAAGGAATATTATTTAGTGAGCATTGAAACTTATGCAATTAATAAAGTTTATTAATTTAATTTAAAGTTGCTAGTTATTTTTGTTGATAATTAGAATATGCAGTACCCACTCAAATATAGTTATTGGAGTTGGGCCTTTAAGTCATAAGTAATTAAAATAATATAAGCCACTCATAAAGAAGTGTCTTTTCTACTTTTTTCCTTCTCTCTTTATGTTTGCCCCAAAAATTCTCCCCAGAAAGCTGAATGAAGGCTGGTAAA